CATGTCGGGATTCAGAGGGCAGGTACGTGGTCAGCCTTCCTCTCAAGACAGAGTTAGTTGGACAGGCAGACATAGCATTTTCCCGAAATAATTGCTTACGACAATTTCTTCGGAATGAGGCATCCCTTCTTCGAAAGCCACAAATCAAGGCAGTCTACGACCGAGTGGTCAATAAGTATTTAGATTTGGACCATATGAGGCCAGTACTTGCCGCGTCAACAAACTCTACGGTTTGTTACCTCCCCACCTTCCAGTAATAAATTCCGAAAAGCAGTCTACCAAGCTTCGAGTGGTTTTCAATGCCTCGAAAAAAACTTCCAACGGGAAAAGTCTTAACCCTGCTATGCAATTTGTATCATATATGAGACAACCACGTTTTTTTTTTCATTTTTTTCATATGTTATCTCCAAAAAAGTGGTAAAAGTCGCCATAATAAGTGAGACGACATAGCAATGAATAAGATCAAAGAAGAATTGAAAGCTTATGCGATAATATTTATTCTGAAATAACAGTTGTTTTGTGACATTCGTTGAAAAAGCACGTGTAATTTGGAAGCTGATATAAATCGTACGTTTTAATGTAGGTACTTCTGAAATCAGAGATTTAGTTTATATATCTTATTTGTAGTTTAGTATTTTCCATTATTAAGTTTGAGAATTTGGGAAATTTTAATTTTTTTTATTTCGGTTGCGCCATATATGATACATTATGCGTTTAGCAATAAAATAATGGTTGTAGCATATATGATACAACCACATATGTATATGCAATTTCACAGTAAAACAAGTTTAAAAAATTGTTTTTAGCTATAAACCATGTCAATTAAATCTAAATATTTAAATGACGAAATGATAACTAATTTGGTTAATCAATTTTCCGAGAGCGAAGATGATTTAGATTAGATGATAATAGTAGTGATGAGGAAGAATTTTTAGAAAACTTTAATCCTACAATAAGCGGATCACACACCGAGTTACCCGGGGATAATACAGAACCAGGCGATGATATAGACGATTTCGTTATAAATGATTTACCAATAACGTATTTGAACGAAAATGAAACCATTGGTCAATTCGCTGCAAACTCCAAAAAAGAAATTGAAGACTTGAAATGTAAATGTAGCAACATTTTGTGGAAAAATCAAAATCTTCAGCTATCACCAGAAACTGTACAGTTCAAGGGTAGTGAAACGCTCTCCGCAGAAATAATTTCGCTAAGTACTCCGTTGCAAATTTTTAAATATTTCTTCAACAATGAGCTTATGTCAAAATTGTTGAAGAATCGAATTACTATTCTGCTGAACTCAATATTGACAATCCAACAAAGATAAATGAAAAAGACTTGCAAGCATACATTGGAATTTGTACAATGACATCAATGCACCATGTGACAAATTTGCGCAGATACTGGTCACTGGAGGTTGGTAATTAAATTACAAAAGAAGAATTCTTCATTTCAATCGAAATTTTGAAAATGTACCACAAAATGACAAAACCACAAAAATACGTTCTGTTGTTCACGCTCTATTGGAAGGATTTGCGACGGTAGCAATGGAATAAAACCTTTCTGTAGACGAACAATTACGTTCAACAAAAGCTAAAAGTTACTTGAAGCAATACATGCCAATGAAACCCCATAAGTGGGGATATAAGCTCTTCGTTTTAAGTGGTGTCTCAGGCTTTACATATAAATTTGAAATTTTTACTGGCCAAGAGAATGAAGTAAGGTTGACTTCAGAAAACAATTTAGGGTCTGCTGCAAATGTTGTCATTCGACTTTTACGCGATGTTCCAAGAAATATGAATTACCGTGTTTACTTCGACAATTATTACACGACTTTGCCATTAGCTGTGGAATTACATAAAATCGGCATACTAAGCATTGGTACTGTACGGCGAAATATACTTCCATCGTGTAAGCTACCAACAGAGCGGTCCATGAAATTCCAACCCAGCGGAAATTGTCATGAGTTTGCATGTACCGTAGAAGGAGTAAATGTAAGTTCGGAAAGATATGAAATTAGTTCATTTTCTTTCGACCTGTTCTGGAAAGTTGCCAGTTCATTCTGCTAGAAGATATGACAGGAAGAATAAACGAGTGATTGAAGTGGAGTGCCCAAATATAGTAAAGATTTATAACATACACATGTGTGGTGTTGACCTACTTGATAGCCTTATTGGGCGCCATAAAATTAAACTCCGATCCAAGAAATGGTATATACGAATATTTTACCATTTACTGCATATTACAACAGTCAACTCGTGGATACTGTATAAACGCATTTCAAAAGAGCGAAATGAGAATAAAACTTTATCTTTAGCGGATTTCCGCATTGAAATCGGGGTAAGTTTATGTAGAATCGGCCAAACAGTGAAACCCCTTGGACGTCCATCGACTCGCGTGTCTCAAGAAATAGAAGCTAAGAAAATACAGCCTAACGCAGCTTTTTAGCTAGCTGGATGTTCAAGCTTATCTTATATTTATTGTGAAAAATGTAAAGTACATTTATGCCTCAATAAGGATCGTAAATGCTTTTCAGTTTTCCATGGCCATTAACAAAACGTGATATCACTTACTTATACAGAAATGTATAAATATCCTCTATAAAAACTTCTTGTATGTATGTATAATCAAAAATCGCTGCACACATACTACGTAGGTGCATGTACGTCGACGACGTGCTAATAGGATATCATGACTTGCGTACATCTTTAAATTCTCGCGATCGATTAAGATCTGCTCTTTCGTCCGCTAAATTTGAATTGAGGAAGTGGACAGCAAATGACCGTGATATTTTGCAAAATCTTCCTACGAAGATTTAATAGACGCCAAAGTTCTTTCCTTTGTGGAAGCTAGCAGTTCCAAGCCGTTAGGTATACGTTGGAATGCTCAGCTTGATTTGTTTTACTTTAGTGTGAATGCTCTCCCCACAAAAGCCCACTATACAAAACGAGAAACTTTGTCCACTATTGCCAAACTGTTCCATCCTTTAGGTTGGTTAGGCCGTAATTGTGATAGCTAAAATAGTTATGCAGAAAATCTGGACAGATAAAATCGGTTGGGATGATGCACTTCTGTCCACGACAGAACGTGATTGGCAAAATTTTGTGGATTGCTACCAGGATGTGAATTCCATTCAAGTTCCCCGGTGGGTTCATTATACGCCACTGACTGATTCTACGATCGTCCTCTCCTGGCTCAACAAAAGTCCATCTACGTGGACGACATTTGTTGCCAACCGTGTTAGCAAAATTCAGGAGATAACAGACATAGGAAATTGGCATCACGTGCACTCTGAAGATAATCCCGCTGATTTAGGTAGCCGGGGGATTTTGCCTTCCGAGCTCGCCTCCTCTAATCTTTGGTGGCAAGGACCACATTGGCTACGCCAAAATAGTTCTCATTGCAATTTATGCAATTTTCCTCTGCTTGTCACCGAAATTGAAATGCCTGCTGTCAAGACTCATGCCTCTTTATTTAATAATTATTGCGACCCCTTAGAAGATTTCTCTTCGTTAGATAAGGCTCTTCGAGTCCTCTCCTATGTTTTTAGATTTTTCCACCGGACTCATCCTGCCCATAGAGGACGATACATTTACAATGAGAAAGAGTTCTCTATTACCCTTAAATCCATTTCTGGATGAATTCGGGGTAATTAGGCTTAATGAACGCTTGTCGCAATCACCTACTCTGTCTTACACAGAACGGAATCCCATTATTCTGCCTCGCCAAAGTCGTTTCACGCACTTACTACTTCAATTCATACATGTTCTTTGCATCCACGGTGGAAATCAACTGATGTTACGCATTATTAGAATTGAATATTGGGTCCCACGAGTCACATCACTTATTTAAACCACCATTACTAAATGTAAAACATGTTTTTTGGACAAAAAACGGTCTTGCTCTCAGATAATGGCTGCTCTTCTCCGGAGAGAACGATATTATCTAGACCATTCACCACTACCGGAGTTGATTTTGCAGGTCTCTTTGATCTTAAGTCATTTACAGGAAGTTTTGCTAAAATCACTGAAGGCTACGTCTGTGTTTTTGTCTGCTACTTCTGATTTGTCTACGACAACATTTTTAGCAGCGTTTCATCGCTTTATCTCCAGACGTGGTTGTCCAAAAACCATTTTTTCTGATAATGGCACCAACTTCGCTAGAGCTTCAAGGGAAATCGAAAATAATTTTAAAATAGTTCTCCGTGAAAGTTGTACTAACTTGTGTTCCCCACTGCAGTATCAGGAACTTTCATGGCAATTTATTCCCACTGGCGCCCTCCATTTGGGTGGTCTATGGGAGGCCGCCGTAAAAAGTTCTAAGTTGCATTTTCGTAAGCAAGCTAAGAACTTCAAATTTACGTTTGAAGAGCGAAGAGCTTCTTCAGCAAATGTAACTCGATTATATTTAGTTCAAAAGTAACTAGTTTATATTTAGTTTCAAAGTAATGCAGGAATGGACAATTGTCCAATATCTAGCTCATCCCCATGTTAAAATGTTTAGTTGGCGTAAAGGAAATTAATCAAAAAATAACTAGTTTTTTAACTAATTTTAAGTTAGTTTTAAACCAATTTATTTTCCCGCAGGGAACACCATTACACAAATGACCAGCGAACGAAAATAAACTATTGGAAATGTTTGCCATCGTTCCGTTCTGTACCTTTCGAAGTACGAAACGAAACAACGCCGATATTAAGATAAGTAACATGTTTCTTATTTTGTACTGTTTTTGTAGATGATGAGTGGAAACAAAAACAGAACTGAAGTGTACTATGCTGGATGACGCAACATTGGAAACGAAAGGGTACAATACTCATTGCAAACGTTTCCAAAAGGCCTATTAAATAGGTCTTCCGATTAGCCCAGCAGATTTCACCCGTTCTGTCAAAATACATTTGTTCATATTTGGAATTCGCTGAAAAAAGACAAGCTGTCATCATAGAATGGGCCTGTCTGGTTATTTTCCTGCAGTAATTGTCCAGCAGTTTCTTACTTACCGAGTTTTGTTATCTTTTGCTAGAAAAAAAATGAAGTACACACAAAATGTAAAATGAGACGTAAAACTAAACAATTAAGGTGGGAATATATAAAATGCTTCTTTGACTGGCTAAAGTCATCGGTTGGCTTCTTCGGAAAAGAATAAAGGATCATCGGGTCAATATCGTACTAAATCAACATAAAACGCCTTCGTTCCTTTCCGAAGAAGTCAGCCGATTATCAAATATATGTTTTATATGTGCTTCTCCAAATATAAATCACCGGAAGAAGAAAAATAGCAAATGATTGCAACAAGAAATTTGTTACATAGGTATACAGACACACCTAATTCTGTTCTGGCTGCTTGACTGCACATGTGATTTTTTCTCCATTCCAAAGTACGAAGACGCAAGGGCAAAATGTAGCACACATTGTCAAAAATATGTTCATCGAAACGTTTTATTTTAAACAATTTGCTTAATTTTTTTACTATGCTCTTGTGCTTTGTTTCATATGTATTGCTTTGTTTTTCCCTTAGATGTTTACAAATTCGCCACAAAAAAGATAAACAGAGGCGAGTTCGAAGAAGTAAAACAGCTGATTTTTAGGCAATTCGCCCTTTACACGACCTAATGGTCCTTGCGTTTTCCTATATATAGCATTTTCAGATTAAATGAAACCTTTTGCAATTGAAATGAAACTTTTTGCAGCGGAAATTTTTATGGTTGTTTATTTTCCATGTAGTACATAATTTTATAGTTTTTTCTCTTTTTAAGGATTTTTTTGCTATACTTGTAGTAGCTACATTCGCTCGGTTGGAAACGAGTGATGATTAGCGCTTAAGTGTATTGATGTCTCTTGCCTTTTTTCTCTCTACCTAGCTTAACTGTTGTTCAGCTTAGTTGAGGGTCTAATTACTACTAAATTTAAATTATTATTATTATTTTTTTGTATATATATTACTATTCGTTGATTATTTTTGTTATTTATTCAGTTTTTTTTAGATTAATATTGTTATAGGCTGTTTTTATACTGTTGTATGTTAATATAAGATTTTGGCCATATTGGCTTATTTATATTGAATTGTATGAAATAAATGAAATGAAACCCTTTGCAGTGGAAATGAAACCTTTTGCCGTGGAAATGAAACCTTTTGCAGCGGAAATTAAACATTTTGCAGTGGAAATGAAACTTTTTGCAACCGAAATGAAAATTTTTGCAAATCAAATGAAAATTTTAGATTTATAGAAAGAAACATAACAAAACATTTTTATTTTTAGTAGGTTCAAAATTAAGTCATCTAATTATAACTAATATATAATTAAAGAGGAATTTTTATTGATAATTAATATCTATGTTTTATAGTATTATTTCTTAAATATTCAGCTCCCATAAAACAAAAGTGTAGATGCAGAAAGTTTAAAAAATGTTTTTCAAGGTCTTTTCTCCAAAAGACCCGAATTAGATACCTTTTAATAACCTTATCCATGATTCCGGGATGTTTCAATAAGGCATTACATTGTGTAAGCGATAGAGCGAATCATTCAATAGCCCAAATAGCAAGATAGCTCTATCTTCATAATCAATAAAACTGCGAAGCGGGAATCCTTTATTAGGTAAGAATAGTATACTATAACAATAAAACATTGTATTAAAACTTAATTTCGCATTTCAGTCCTACCCATACCTATAAAGGCCAAAATTTGTTTGATTTATTACAATAATTGAAAATTTAAGAAATAATATAAAAATGTAGATATTAATAATCAATAACAATTTTTTTAACTATATATTAGTTATAATTAATTGACTTAATTTTAAACCTACTAAAAATAAAAATGTTTTGTTATTTTTCCTTCTATAAATCTAAAAGTTTCATTTGATTTGCAAAAAGTTTCACTTCGGTTGCAAAAGGGTTAATTTCCGCTGTAAAAGGTTTCATTTCCACAGAAAAAGGTTTCATTTCCACTGCAAAAGGTTTCGTTTCCGCTGCAAAAAGTTTCATTTCTATTGCAAATGGTTTAATCTGAAAATGCTATATTAACTTATTGCAAATAATGTACAAATTAAAAGTTAAAATTATTCCTTTTTATTCATTTATTTGACCATCATACAATTTAACAAGTAAAAAAGCTGTAAGTTCGGGCGGGCCGAACTTTTAATACCCTCCACCATTTGGTACAAATTTGTGCAATTCCAAAAAAAAAAAAATAAATAAATAAATAAAATCCGTGAAAAATTCTGTTAAAATCTTAAAAATACCGAATGCCTGTACGACGACGTGGACCTGCATAGGCAACTTTTGTCATAAGTTATTACAATATTTAAATGCGAAACTTGAAGAAAAATCTGTTTATGATGTAGCTAAAATCGTCAAAATACCGAATATAGGGGGTACCGTTATATGGGGGCTATACGAAGACGTGGACCTGCACAGACAATTTTCTGGCATGGGCTAAACTATCCATTACGAACTTTACATGCGAAATTTGAAATAATTCCGGTAAATAATGTCGCTAAAATCATCAAAATACCGAATATCGGGGGGTACGGTATATGGGGGCTATACGAAGACGTGGACCTACATGGCCCATTTTCTGTTTTATGCTGCAGTATCTATTACAAATTTCAAATACCAAATTTGGAACGATTCCGTTAAATAATGTCGCTAAAATCATCAAAATACCGAATATCGGGGGGTACAGTTATATGGGGGCTATATGAAGACGTGGACCTACATGGCGCATTTACGAACTTAACCTGCCTACTGGAAAAATATACATGTGTGCAAAATTTTAGCCTTTGTTCGAAAGATAGCGGGATTACAACAAACAGACAGACGGACATGACTAAATCGTCTTAGAATTTTACGCTGATCAAGAATATATGGAGGGCTCACTGCTATACCGAACCAAGTCATGAAAAATAAAAAATGCCGAAACTAGTGCCAATGTCCCCGCATGTGGCAAATCTATTTACTCTGCAAAGCACAATGTCAAAAAGTGCTTCGTTCCAAAGATAACGGTAAAAAACCTAAGTCAACGACTGTCCTTTTCGTTTTTATTCAAAGCAAAAATGAACCAAGTCAATGTGTTTCACTTTGAATCAGTACTATTAGTGAGCAAGTGCATATTGCCGTTCATTTTTCAGCAATATTAAAAAAACCAGTACCCTTACACCACTTTGCTAATTTAGTAGAGCTGCGCATAACAATTAAAATTTTTGATGTGAGAATTCAATCATACACGCTATGATTATAATTAAAATTTAAGGTTCAAAGGACTAAATATTCCGAAGCATTTGCATCTTTTAAATTCGGACTTGTATTGCCCATTTGCACAATTAATTTGAAATCGGATAAAAGTATATATGGGAGCTATATCCATATATAATAATATATTTCTGAGCTGTATTTGATATATTTCCCCAAATATTGTTGTTACAGAGTGCATATTACGGCTGCGGAGGACAAAAATAACAAACCGGATTAAAAATATATATGGGAGCTATAGCAATATCTGAACCGATTTCGATCAAATTTGGCATACTTATTTCCAATCTAATCGTACGTGCAAAATTCCATACTATTCGGGCAGATATTACACGTTTGGTGCACAATAAAAGGCAAATCGGACGAAGAAATATATGGCAGCAATATCTAAATGTTGACCGATTTCAATAGGGTTCGTCCTTGGGCCAAACAAATGATTTGTGCAAAATTTCATCTGGATAGGGCAATAAATGCGAACTGTACTTTGTTTACAAAAATACATGGACAGACGGACGGACGCACATGCATAAATCGACTCAGAATGTGATTCTATGCAGATCATCAAAAGGAGCTATGGGTCTATTTCGTTTCCTTTTACCTGTTAGAAACAAATGCACAAAGACATAATACCCTTGTGGTGTAGGGTATAAAAACTAGTTAAAAGGTATGTATACCCTCAGCCATAGTACGTGGAGGGTATAGTATGGAGGGCATATTGAGTTTGTCATTCCGTTTGTAACACCACGAAATATAAATTTTAGACTCTACAAAGTATATATATTCTTGATCAGCATAAAATTCAATGTCGGTTTTGCGATGTCCATCAATCGGTGGAAATCACTCTAGCTTCCGAGCCAATTGAGGTAGGTTGATAAAAGTTTACTCAGATGTGTGTTTGGTCTACAGGGCGTTTGGTATTGAAAATGATCGGTATTTTGGTGACTTTCGTATTTCGTATTCAGAAATTTGATGTTTTTGCGATATTATTTAACGGATGTTTTCCAGTTTCCCATTTAAATATTGTAATGGACTATGACAAAACTTGCCTGTGCAGGTCCACGTTTTCGTATAGACCCCATATTACGGTAACTCCCTATATTCGCTATTTTTATAATTTTTAAAAGTATAATCGTTTTGAAAAGATGAATAATCCCGGCAAAGTGGAAGCACAATGTGCGTAAGCTTCGCTGCAACAGTGGAAAAGCATACACAAATCAGAAGGGTCTTACGATTTCCGCAAAAACGTTTATACCTAATTATGATTGTGGATGCAAAATAAAATGTAACAGCCAGGTGAATGAATCTGACAGAGAAGTCATTTTGGAAACTTGCAGATTATGCAAAATAAAATGTATTTTTATTATAAAGTATTCAGCACGAAATTCTATTTACATTTTAAGTCTCCGAATAAGGATACCTGTCGAATTTGTGATGGACTTGACATAAGAATAAAATTCGATGGAGAAGAAACTACAAATTTAATTTGGCAACAGGAACTTCATTTAAAAGCAGCACAGCTAGCTCGAGACTCACTGAATACAGAAGTACCATCTGATGAACACTATATCTGTACTTTCGACCTTAAAAAAGCATTGCCTTTTCCAAAGCTATCGACATCAGTTGCTTATTACAAGCGGAACATCAACTATATTTAGTCATATAGCGAACACTTTATTATATTTTGTTGACTTGGTTCGCTTTAGATATGAAACATTCAAATTTTATTCAGAATAATAATGAACCAAAGTAGATTTTTTTGTTTTTAAAT